AAGGAAATCTTTCTGTCTATGTACACTACACAGCAACACAGTGGATTCGCACGCATTATCTGTGACGCATAACCTTGGCCTCTGACGAGTGATGACGTAAACCGCGCCGTGGTCAGAGCTAAGGCTTTGTATGTCGAAGGCTCCGGACCAGAGGACCGTGACAAGAAGAAGGGAGGGTGGGAGGGTAGAAAGGGGCACATAACCATGCAGGCCGACAAAAATAGTGGGGTAGACACGCGAGACTGATTCTCGGGCCTAAGGGTGCATGTTAACAGCACAGTATGTGCATAACAAAAACAAGCATAATTATAATGTATATATATGTGCACATATACAGGTACATATGCACAGGTAAGGAAATAATCTAGACGCGAGTAGGTCCAGATGAATATGGGAATAAATGAATAAGAAATGCATAAATAGACAATAGGATTAACTAAGTTGTAGGGTGGATGTCCACCGTTGGGAGTACAGTCAACATTGACGAGTAAATGAGGAACACATATTCATAGAGATTTACAAATGTAATATTTGGAAGCAAACAAGTGTTAACATGGTAATGATACATGAACATAAATGTTACAGGCGAAGACACACTAAATAATATTGATAAAGTTTTTTCAACTCACCCGCTTTGCCTCACACAAGTTCCTAAATGAATCGTTGACTTGAGAGTCTTCTGACTTCTCAGTGATTCTGATCTAGAATGGTATTAACCTGAAATTTTCGTCTCCGGCTTTTATAGGTTCCCGAGCGGTATGTTAGAGTAGTGACGATCCAATGGCCATCGAGTCTTTCGAATTTAGAATTGTTAAATTGGACCAATCTTTTTATTTGGGGCTCACTCACCTGACTTCTTTAACCAGCGACCTGGGGGGGGGGGGGGGGGGGGGGGGGGGTAACGAAGGAGGATGAAAGCGGAACCATTTAACAATTATCAGGCTGGACCATCGCTCGATGGCACAGCGGAGGGGAGCGATTTGAATAGCTATGGGCGTTAGGAGTGTCGGCTCAAAGGGATTTACGTGGACACCAAATTTTAATGTCCCTGGACTTTACGACTGTGTGCGTTTGTTCTGGCGTTTGGGGCGTAACTTGGGAGGTGTGTTTATGGCCTATAATTTGGTGGTTGGATTTAACCTTGGTGTAATATGATGTTTTTGTTCTACCCTGGTCGGTTTAGTGTTAAAAAGGGGCTATACAATGCTAACTAGTGGTGAAAGGGGACGATAGTTTCGCACTGGTCAGTTCTGTATTGAGAGGACGTATTTCGTCACAATGACCTTTAGACACGCTGGACACACGCAGAAAATAAACAACTTAGTTACACTACAATCTGATAATGCTACCACGTGATTGTCAAAAGAGCTGAGCCGAAGACTCTTCGAGCTCTAGGCTTGTAAGCCTGCCTGAACAACCGTTCTGTCTGAAAGAGATCCAAGTCAATGCCTATGTAAAGCATTGCTATTTCCGATATATCTGGAACTCCGGGTGCATGGACTAGAATGCATGGCCGAAGGCCGAGTACACCGGGAACCTCCGCCATTTTCCTATGTTGTACCAAGCTAACCGTGCAGGACTCGCCATTAGTGTAACGGTCTCTTGAGGAACGGCGCGTGGATTATCGACAGGGACTTGGGAGCTCTCTTTCAACTCCCCTCCGTGCAATGGAAAAGCTCTCGCATTCCTTTGGACACTCTCACTGATTCCAATTTTGAGCTTCCGGTACATGTGTTTTCGCATTCTGTTGTGTCCGGTCCTGAGTCGAAAGATTAGATGTTGGTCTTGTCGGGTAAGCGTCATCTTTTTTTGTGATTTGGATGAGATTGATTTCAATCTGAGGATTTAATAGTTGAGATAGCGACAAAATTCATATTCACCTACCACACCATGATCATATTGGGTGATTTTTTCTTGAACTATCACGTCCAAGAAAAAATGAATCTCAATCCGTAGCTCGTTCATATGTGTTTATATAGAATCTTCACCTTTTTCGCTTGGCTTCTTTTTATTGTGGCCATTACGTCTTTGATATTCTGCACTAATCCTCAGATCTGAGCACATACTTTCGCTGAAGGTAATAATGGATTAAGCCTTGCTCTTCCAAGTAGTAGTTATCGATGTTTTTAATGTTTTCCATTTAAGTGCGCAGTCTCGATTGACGATCATTATTTTGGAGTTAGACTTACCCGTCGTTTATTTCAGTTAATTCAGGGGCCAAGAATCCAAAATAGGTAAGAAAATTAAGACTGCATGGCAACTAACAATCCGCCTACTTAAGAGATTTTGTCTTTACAATTCTTCTTCAATTCGTTCGTGATGCCCATTCAGGGCCAGATTCTGCTTTAAGAAAAAAGAAATGATATCCAAGATTCACTTCATTATCAGATTTTTACCTTTAGGACTCTTTGATCACTGCCGTCAACAATTTTAAGCAGAGAAGACAATTTCTCCATCTAAACTAGCACTATGAGCGCAAGCCAGACTTATCAATCTTGAGCAACGCCCATAATATTAATAGAGAGGAGAAATAAATAAATCTTTCACTCAAATACAGTAGTTAATGTTTGTTCATTTATGTACAATGTGTGTAGTTTTTACTGAGAAATTTTGTGCTCAGTTTGTTGTCCCTCATCACTTGATGCCCCGTGCGGCCCTCACCACCCGCACATGGCTAGCTACGCCACTGTCACTACCGCATAGCAGAGTGCTCATCACAAAGGTCCGGTAGACTAAGACTTTGGTTTTGATAGCAAGATATTGCCCCACACTCTTTTCTGCAGCCGTGACATGGTGTCATTGCCTTGGCTATCCTGCTGATATCTTTATCCAGTAGAAGATCGTTGTAGATGATGGAACCAAAATAAGGAAAAATGGTCAGCAATTTTCAAATATCAATTATCTCTATCGTTTATTCTGCAAGTTTTCAATTATTTTAAATAATTATAGTCTCTCTGAAAACGTTTTCAGTGCAATGCATCTGAAAGCATTTACGCTGTCGAATCGGGGCACCTTTCTCAGCACAATTCCCCTAAACGTTTACAATTGTCGCTACTACATTATTTCCTCTCAACAACTCGGATTCATCCAAAGTAGTAAGTTGCTTGCGTACTTCGAATGGGAAGAAATGTTTAAATCTTCATTTCTGAGAGTAATCGTCAATGCCAAAAGGTAAGCCTACTTCAATAATAAGAACTGTTGGATGTATATGCCTAATGTGGCAGCAATGCTGTGTACAAAATGCAGCCACAATTCAGTTTTCAAAGAAGCTTTTGATCATGGTGTGGCACTGCTCTTGATGCAAATATTAAGATTTCAAAGCAAGATGTAATTTAAGTAAATTCCCCATCACAGGCATAAGAGAAGACCACATTGTTTTTTCCTAAGTTCAAAATTTTGCTAGGTCCAGATCTTTATATATTCTATAACCATCAGGTACCAGTCTAACATCCACACTACAAAAGAGCTTTCAATTTAGTATTGTTATCTGGTCTTTGCATCACCACCCAGGGTTTAATCACTAAAAGCTTCAAACTCCATTTATATTTTGTAATATGTTGGCAGCACATCAAATACCCAAACATTGACATTTACTTGACTGTATACTAGTGCAGCAATGCGATGTTGGAAAAGTAATGCACACCAGAGGTATGTCAAGTGCCGACTGCTATACAGATCAGCGTCTTGTTCGTGCAAAGTTCAACATCTCAATCAAAGTCCCCCCCCCCCCCCCCCCCCAAAAAAAAGTTTACCTTCGAACTAGGAAACTGAATGTCGAAAAGTTAGTGAATGTACAGAACAAGTTTTGAGCTCGGAAAGCCTCAGGAAATTGACCAAAAGGCAAACTGGAACCAACTAAAACAGACTCTCCGGGACGCAACGGCCAGGACAGTGGGCTATTGCATCAAGCCCAACAGAGACTGGTTTGACGAGAACAACACAGCAATCCAAAAGTTTTAATAATAATAATAAAAAACACCCACTACTCTTCTTTGCTCGCAAACCCCAACAGCCCTGAAAAAAAAACTCCCTTTACAGAGCCCCGTGTAATACTTTGCATGCGAAAGTATGCAAATTAAAAAACAACTAGTGGCTGGAGCTTTCGGAAAACACACACAGATTCGCGGACGCAAGAGACACGCGCTTACTCTTTGAATCACTCCGCTCTGCTTACGGCCCAACGTACCAGATTGGTGAAATCCCACAAGAAAAAATGATAAAAGGAACTCGACGAATTGTTGAAAAGACAATTGGGAAGCTTATAGGACACAAAACGCCTGGCTCAGACGTCTTCCAGCAGAAGTTTTTAAAATGGGTGGCGCTGCTCTCACAGAAAGCTAGGCCTCTTCACTTTGTGCTGGGACTGCTCCTAGAAGCGGGGAAAATCATTGCCAGGAAACTCCTTGACAAATTGGCCAACTCCAAAGTAGGCAGTGTGCTTTCTGAAATTCAATGTGGTTTTTAAGCTGGTAGAGGCACGTTGGACATAATTCTTCTAGCGTCAAATGCAGGAAAAATGCAGGGAGCAGAACCTGGATCTCACCAAAGCATTTGACACAGTGAGTCACTATTGCTTATGGAGGATTCTATCTCGGCTCAGATGCCCATTTAAGATTCATCGCCATTCTGAAGCAACTGCATGAGAATCAAAAGGGTCAAATCAGATACAACGTTGACCTATCAGCTCACTTATGCATAGAGAATGATGTGAAGCATTGTTGTTTGCTTCCTCCTACCCTCTTTACAATATTCTTATATATATATATATATTGGGGAATAGTAAAAAGGGGTCGAATAGCTAGAAAGTTTGAGTACTGCTGACTTGGAGGATATAGAAAATCTCAATTTGTACATACATTTTGGCATATTTACGAAATGTAAATATAGATCTACAGATCTATGTCAGGCGCAAAATTTAGCCTATAATTTTCCATTTTGAAGTTACGAAAGTCGTCGAAAGTAAATAAAAAGGTAATATAATCTATATTACATAGGTATGTGCTGCTGGCAGGATAGAGGATTGTGTGTTGTTCTTTTATGATTACTGGACTAGAACTAGAATCTAGGGTACTAGTACTAGGCCTAGGCCCTTGGGTCTAGATCTGTTGTTTATAGATCTAGAATAAAGATCTATAGACAGTCTAGATCTGTTACAGATTCTGTAAGTGTATCCTAAGTCAAGTCTAAGTGACCCAAGGCTAAGGCTATAAGTACTATAACTAGACTCTATAAGTATAAATACACTATAAATAATTATAAATTAAAAATGGTAAGTAAAATCTCAAATGAAATGATGTAATTTTTTAAAGTGTAAAGTAGTCTATGTTATGTATAAGATATACTCAGCATATAGAGTGTAGGTAGATCTATATAGTTTGTCCATCGTGGTTCGATGATGACCACTTTGTCATCCAGCTGGCTGAGGCTTTGCACTGGGGTTTAACTTTATTGCCTCCTCATGTGGCTGGTGAGACCTTTGTGAGCCTGGAATGTTCGGCCGCACACTGGGCAGGTTATTCCAGCTGGAGCTAGTGTCGTTTGCCTTGCTTTTCTTTTCTGGCGTTTTTCTTCTGCCAGCGTTGTTCTTTTTTCCTCAGCAACCTGTGCGCCAGTTTTCACAGCGCGACGCCATGATGCTCTGTCATGTGCCTCTGTCTCCCAGGTGCCTGGGTCTATGCTATGCGCTTTCTTTGACCACCTTGCGAGCGCTTTCCTTCGCTTAGTTGGCCATACAAGAGTCGTTTAGGGATGCGGTGGTCTTCCATTCTGTAGACGTGACCTGCCCATCACAGCTGGAACTGCATCAGGATTGTGTGGATGCTTTGCAGACACGCTCTTCGAAGAACTTCTGTATCTGGTATTTTGTCTTGCCATTTGACATTTAGTATTTTTCTCAGACATGTCATGTGGAAGTGGTTCAGTTTCTTTGCATGTTTACTGTACACTGTCCATGTTTCTGAGGCATAGAGCAATGTAGGGAGGATGACGGCTCTATAGACCCCTAGCTTTGTGTTTGTGGTGATACCACGTCTGTTCCAGACAGTTTTAGACAGTCTGCCATAGGATGCACTGGCCTTGGCGATACGCAGGTCGATTTCACTATCGATTTTTCCATTTCTGGAGAGTGTGCTGCCAAGATATGTAAATTTGTCCACTGCGTTTATATCCTGTCCATTTATAGTGATGCTTGGATCCGAGTAGGCTTTCCCAGGAGCAGGTAGATATAAGACTTCAGTCTTGTTCGTATTGATGGTAAGGCCAAAGTCTGAGCATGCTCTTGAGAAGGTAGATCTAGATCTATCTTGTTACACTGTTACTGTTACTTGTATTTTTGTCTTCTAGATCTAGAGTGACATGATCATGATGATTAATCTACTAAAGACTCTAAAAGACTCCTGGTCCCTAGTTAATAAAAGTTTAGTAGTTAGTTAGGCCTAGGCTAGACTAGATTATTATTTAATAATACTAATAACTTAGTAATACACTAGAAGTATAAAATAGACCTACTACTAGTCATCTAGAGTCTCTAGACATTCTAATAAATTCTAATCTAGATCTATGAGCATGTTAGAATGTTGACTATAGATACTATTTATATAACTTATAAGTATAACTATAAAAATATAATTATTATAATCAGCTACTAGATCTATATTTATCTATAATATTATATATTAATATATAATAAAAAGTATTATGAGTATATAAAAAAATTATAATATAATCTAGAGTAGATCTATCCTATACATATGCTATCTAAATCTAATAATTAGGACTAGACAGTATTGATTTACAGTACAGTAGGTACTTTGTCTTTGACAAAAAATGCAAAATAAATATTATATATATATATATATAAAATACATAACTATATAACTTATATATATATAACTATAACAACAGAAACTATCTAGATCTAGTTATGTAGAGCTTGCTAAGAGGTTTACAAGGAAACCAAGTTTATCTTTTTATGTTAATTTATATTGTAGCGAAGATATGATAAAATCCACCCAGATATCACTTTCTTTCTCCCCCCTCCCCATTTTCCCAACTGGTCCAGATATAAATTAAAAAAGTGATATTGAGAAAGCTAAAATCATGAAATAGCGCTAAAAAAAATCAATTAGTAAAAATATTATTAATATTTAGATTTATTATCCTTGGTCTAGATCTGTTACACATTTAATTACATGACTGATCCAAACTAATTGACACAATTACACTTCATATATAAGCTTTTTTTTTTTTTTTTAAAAGTATTTTTCATGATTTTCTTGTTTTGTTGTTATTTCAAAACCATCTATATATATTTATATAGTTGTCTTCGTCGCTCAAGAGTTTGGACGAGAATAAGAAATAAAGGAAAGATCACTCTCTTATTTCTGTGGATAGTCACCCCACGAAAAAACAAGAGGGGGGGAGAACAAGTATTCGCCAATCGCTTCGGATTGCTGCCTGGTTGTGTGGTTTGCGTGCTGGACTGTCGTTTGGATTTATCAAACCCTGCCCGTTCCCATCCCCTTTTGTCCTTCAACTCTGAAGGAACATCCGAAACATGTAAAACATTTTACAAACACTAAATAGCAGCGCTGGACTCAACCATTGTGACCAAGAAGTCATGGAAAGAGAACAAGTAATCTACTATGTATATTCACCTGTCACTAAATAGCTGGGCTGTACTTAACCATTGTGGGGCCCTATGCGAAAGGGATTTCACGGGGCCAAGTTTGGGTAGAGAAACGGATAATAAAAGAAATTTAAGAGTTTGTATTAGAAAATAAATTCGTCTCTATAATAGATGCATTTTATTAATTCTTTACTATGTACAGAATTACTTTACGAGCCTTGCGTTCAGCAAAGTCATACAGTATATCATAATAATTCTGTTTCCTATATAGATGACGCTCAATAGCAAGAATTCCCAAATGTTTCAATCTATCTACAAGAATTTGTTGACCTCAAGTAAATCTTAAGTTTGTTTTAGGGCTACTATACATACGTCACGGTTCCAGTTAGTACCTAAGGAACATTTATGCCAAGTTTTATCAAGATTGGTCAAACGGTTTTGATTTCTATGCGTAACATACATTCATACATACGCACACACATGCGCACATATACACACACATACATACTTACATATATATATAGGTGCTGATATTCAGTAGTTGATTGCCTAACTTTTAACTACTAAAAATTAATAATATGTAGGTTAAAATACAAGAAAAATATTTTTTTTTTTCAAAAAGGTGCCGGTACACGGTACTGGTGCGTTCTGTCACAAAAAAAGCCCTATACTATAGATGTATATATATTGTTGTGGTGTTTTAGCTGTAAAAATGTAGAGGTATAAATAGATCTATTAATCACTCACAGTTTGGATTGCGGTTCACAACCACACACATATATTTAAATCCTTGAAATAACTGAATGATTCTTTAACATTAAAATAACTTAAATCCACAATAAAGGGGCACAGTCCAGATGTCAACAGTCCTTATAAGTTCACATCTTGCTACGCCATAAGAGTGAGTCATAACTGTCGGTTTTTAATCCCATCATTCCCTACTTCCATCCAAAATAAGTTTTATTTAAAGTTGCGTCGCTCAAAGGAAATCCCCGATAACATTACATGTTAAACCTATAACGATATATAATATATAGATATTTGAGATAGATTCTTTTTTTTTAGTCATAATAGAAATGTGGAAGATTTTCCTTTTTTTGGGGGGGGGGGGGGGGGGGGGGGTAAATGTCAGAGGGGCTGGATTTATTCAGTGATTAATGTCTTCATCTGTTCCACCTGACTTGTTGATTATATAAAACTATCTACCTGGACTATGATCTGTTTTATGTCTCTGCTTTGTTCGTTGTTTATTTTAAGTACTTTTGTTTTTCGTTGATTTATTTTGAGGCTTACTCTTTGTCCTCTGTTTTATTTAAAGCTGTGATCTTTTCTTGCATATTATATCCTGTATTCCATGAGATAATATTGCTATGTTGTCTGGTCTGCAAATTCCAAACTTTTGTCCATTGGCTTTCTTTCCCTGCATTAGAAACTTTGAGAGCCACCAAAGAAGAAGCTTCAGCAGTTGCTAAGTTTTATTAAATGTATGTGCCAGCAAAGTAAAGTCTGGCTTTCTTGACTTAGCTAAATTACTGAATGTACTTTTCAGCAAATATGGATGCTTGATATCAAAATGACCTTTTTTAAGTTTTGTTGGCTTCATTGAAATAGAAATTAATAAAAAATGGTGCATTTGCTTTTTTAATGCCTGCTTTAACTATTAAAGTAAAACCATACACTAAAAATCATCATATTTTCTTTTCTTAACTTTCTTGTTTGTGATCCTTTATCATGGATTTACACGTTATAAAATTAAAATCAATAACATGGAAGGAGTTTTATCTGAATATGCTATTCAATTACATCACGACAAATCTTCAACATAGAAATAATAATATATGATTCCTCTCTGGTGTAACATTGCATTGAGCAGTCTTTTTAACATCTATTATCAAGTGACAATTATAATTTTTAAACAAATTATAACTACCAATAAAAAGATTATTACAATGTCAATTTTACACATTAGAAGAGACAAAAAAAACAACTTTTTTTCGAATGATCTTAGCCACAGGCTAATTTTCATTTGATAATAAGGGGGTCAGCAGCCACAGGTTGAGAATGGCTGATTCTTCTTTAATTTGACCCGATTAAATTAAATTAATTTTTGTTTTTATAAACTTTAATTTGTGTTATATAAAATGAACATGCATTCTTCTATAATTATATACCTTAAATAACATTTCCTGATTACATACAAAAAAAGTTATTGAAGTTTAATCATAATAGGGTAGTGAAACACAAATGAGCAAGATGAATAATTCCACTGGAACATGGAAAATAATTACAGAGAGAAAGAGTTAATGAGGGCGTATGTAGCCAACACAGCAACCTATCTCCTTTACTTTCCCTGAAGATGTCAGGTACCCATTAGAGTTGAGTGGACTCAGGGCATCCTGAAAATCACCAAATTAAAAATTCCAGTCTTCCTGAAATTCGAACCCCAAACCTATGGTTCGAAAGCCAAACGCTTTACCACTCAACCACCATGCCCTTCTGTATATTTGTTGTGACTGAATTATTTCTATTGTTCAATTCAAAATACAAAGGTTCTTAATTACACTAACCTTTTTTTTTTATTTTGCT